CTTCGATATGATTTAAGCAATTTAAACTAACAATAAGGTTACGAGTATTACAGGTAAAGCATGCTTTTGGGTCCTAGACTACTCGGACATAAACATAATAGTAGCTACGCACAGACTCTCGTCACCTCGTGCATACGTAGCCCCCACAAATAGCAGCACATAACCAATTAATTCACCTATGGGTCAATTCCCTCTTACAAGGTTAGAAAGGAGACTCACCTTGCTCCGAAATTTCCGTAACCGGCTTCCAAGCCCTTCCAACGACTCCAATTGATGCACAACGCCCCAAAACTATTCAAACAGCGGGCAAACCAATAAAAATTCACTCTAATACTTGTAACAATTAAAATTATATAAGTTCCCAACTCCGCTCGAAAAGTTGACCAAAATACCCTCGGGCCCACGTGCCCGGATTCTGAAATTTCTCGAAGATAAATTCTACCCATAGCTTTACTAACTCAAATATACAATTTGCTCTAATTTTCATGCACAAATTCAAGGCAAAAGTCCAAAATTCCAAATTCTAGGTCTTCCCCAAAAATCCCAAATTTATACTATTTTTCCATGTCCAAATCCATGTAAGATCACATATTTAACTCAAAAATAGGAAGAAATCACTTACCTAGTGTTGCTTGGTGAAAATCCCTCCTTGAGCTCTCCAAAATCGTCCAAGCCAAATGAAAGAAATGAAAGAAATGGCCAAAACTCGTGTTTAAAACAATCTGCCTAGGCTTCATCGAGTTGTACCTTGCGCTGTGCATCCTATTACAAGTTTCCCCTGTTGTACACCTTCTGTTAAAACGCCCATAAATCCTTGTGGAAATGTCCAAATGACAAACGGTTTGAAGATTTAGAAACTAGACTCGAAGATATTTCATTTGATAGGTTGCACACCATATAACTCTTTATATATTCCGAGATATGAGCTTCTAAAATCGGCTCCATGCATCAGAAAATTCTGTCGAAACTGCTCCACCAGCCATCTTCAATCGATCATAACTTTCTGATAAAATGTCCAAATCATGAATGGTTTAACTTTCTGGAAACGAGAATGCATGGGCAACAACTTTTATGTTTTGCAAATTTTCGGATTCCTTATAGATTTCGAGATATAAGCTTCCAAATTCAGCTCCGCGATTGCACTAGTTGCTGTCAAAACAGCTTTCTGCAGAAAATTTCAGCAACTCTTTGGTCCGAAATTCATTCCGTTAACCTTCCGAAATCCACCCAAGGCCCTCGGGACCTTAACCAATTACACCAACATGTCCCAAAACATGATACGAACTCGCTCGAGGCCTCAAATCACATTAAACAACGTCGAAATCATGAATCATACTCCAATCCAAACTTTATGAACTTTGAAATTTCAAACTTCTACATTCGATGCCGAAACCCGTCAAATCACGTCCGATTGACCTCAAATTTTGCACACAAGTCATATTCGACATTACGGACCTGCTCCAACTTTCTGAATCGGAATCCGACCCCGATATCAAAAAGTCAAACTCTCGGTCAAACTTCTCAAAACCTTCAAATTTCTATCTTTAGCCAAATGACTTCAAAATGACCTACAGACCTCCGAATTTACTTCCGATCGCGCTCCCAACTCCAGAATCACCATACGGAGCTACTCCCAGACTTGGAATCCCAAACAGACATCGATAACACTAAAATGCACTTCAACCCAAACTTATGAAATTTCTTCCAAAATGCTAACTTCCACAATAGGCGCCAAAACGCTCCCGGGTCATCCAAAACCCGATCCGGACATGCGCCCAAGTCCGAAATCATCATACGAACCTACTAGAACCTTCAGATCCCGATTCCGAGGTCGTTTACTCTGAAATCCAATCTTAGTCAATTCTTTCAACTTAAAGCTTCCGAAATGAGAATTCCCTTTCCAAATCAACTCCGAATTCCCCGGAATTCAATTCCGACCATGCGTACAAGTCATAATACCTGAAGTGAAGCTGCTCATGGCCCCAACTGCTGAGCGGCGCGCTAGAGCTCAAAACGACCGATCGGGTCGTTACAGTAAATAATAACGAATATGTTATATTTTAATTTTTGAGATATAAGAATTATGTTCTAACAATCCCCGCATATCTCAAAAACAATATCACGAAATAAAATAAAATAAGAAATTTTGCTGGGTTTTCACAAATGAGCATAATGCGTCGAATCTGGTGTCTCTTGGACTCTGAACCAGACCTAGATAAAATAAGATTAAACTTACAGAACAATTGCTGAAGTTTAAAACTTCTATGAACCAAGAATTCTTTTGTAAGTTTAGTGTCTTATCTATCACATTATACCTCCACACTTTGATGTTTATCGCGGTTTTGCGCTAATAGGCCATGCGCGCGCCTGATTTTCATGAGTGCTCTAGAAATTTCGCCACAAATTATATAGGAGCGGCCCCACTCCACACTCATATAGGTCCATCCATCAAGTGTATTCTGCAGCACAATACACCGGCTATAAAAGACTATGGATTAGTGGATTAAGAGTATAATAACTCAACCTCACATTCCTTGCAGTCTCGCACTATATACACACACACCATAGGAAGAAATATAATTTAATAGTGCATGTTTGATCAACTAATGACTTGTTATTACCCATATGAACCCATTTCATGGGATCTCCAATCACATAGATTGGGTTACCATCATTTTTAATATATCTCAAATTGGCAAAAGTCTCAACCCCTCGATGTTTTACTTATAAGTCAAAGGATCGGCCAAATCCTCTTTTGACTACACATAATATGTACAAGAAAAAATTATCATCTCTAATCAATTGCTTTATGACATTATATCTTAGAAAAATGTGTCTACCCTTCCCATTGAAAGATTTATTTTCTTACAATGGTTATTGCGCTTTGGCAATCATAATTCATCGACATAATTATTGTCGGTTTAACTCACAAGAGGTTGCTTAATTAGCCTCACTGTCCGGCAATTTTAATATCATAACACCCACCAAAAGGTGATCACACAACAACTAGCTAGTTTTTTATCATCTGAATCAGAGATTCAATATCATCATTGTATCTTTCTAATACAGTGGAAAATCCACATACAAAATACTAACTTATAGTATTTCTCAAATAAAGCATAAAATCATCTCAAATGAAATAAAACTTGACTTCTGTTCAAGTGCCTCTTGAAACATCTTTCAACACATAAGAGTTTAGTTTCTTTTTGTATCTTTTGTAGTCAAGTACCAAAGAAAATTTTCAAAATACAGAAGCAACTTTAACTACAGAAATATCTCAAATCAGTAGGAAATGGGTCATAATTCAACGATTTTCTTCACCCAAATGACTAAGAGACCCAAAGCACCATAACTTTTCGAAGTCAGAAATACAATAAATTTTTGATCTTCTAATACAAATTTTTGCCACAAAAAATATCATTTTTGTAAGGCTTCAATGTTATAATTTTAATAAACAATTTTTCTATTTTTTCCCTCTTCTTAGGATCAAGCTAGATAACTCAGGACACCATGGTCCCCCACATTTTCGAAAATTTCAAGTTAAGGACATAACATTTTCACAACGCATAAAGAGTTCCACCAATTTATAAATAACAAGCTAATATAGCTTTACCCAATAAGTCACAAGAATACGAAACACGAAGGTCTTATCTTATCTATTATTTATATCATACTAATACGGAGGAGATTTATAAAATTAACACATTAATCATCATCTTCCCTTCCATAAAAAAAATCTGTCAAATTCTATTTGACATGAATGATTATCATGTATAGTAAACTATTCACTCTTTCATAATTCTCATAGAATTAGCAAAGAACTTATACAACTCGGATGAAATCAATCATGCTTTTATATGTAACACACCAAATTCAAAACTCAAATTTAATGAAATTGAAATATAAATTTAAACCCACTATCTTAGAGCTTTCAAGATTTTCAAAATATATAACAATAAAAGTTTACATTATTGTAGGCTTAGGCGCATTTAAAAAAGCGTACCTTAATTTTGTGGTGGAATTTACCTTCCATAATGCATAATGCACAAAATTGAAATAGCAACTTAATTAACATTTCGTTGCTCACAAAAATAATTTCAATAAAGAGTGGTATTCTCCATAAGACCATTGTGCAAACTTGAAGTGTAGGTTCCATTTTCAGAATTAGAGCAATAACTTGGACAATATCAAATTTAATTCTTCATAATTAAAAAAATATGGAAATATCCTTAAGATTGTTAGAAAAATATTGGTGATTATGGAGAATAAAAGAATTAGCTTTAGCCGTGTCAAGGACACTGTCCTTAAGGATATTTCGCCTACAGTAATAAATAAAATTAGGCGTATTCCCCAGGATTCAACAAGCTCTTCTAGTATAACTAGGAGCAGATACCACAAAGATAAATCAAAGAAAACCCAGCACAAAAGAAGGGGAAGAAAATTTTTTACTTTTTCACACTTTTGAAAGTAAAAAAAAGTTGCCCTAAAAAAAAGCGATAGAGCAAGAAAGAAAGGATCAAAACACCACGGGCCACACGCAAAAGAAGAGAGAGGATAGCCAGAATTGGGAATTTATAGATAAGAACAACCATCTCATATGATGGCTAGCTACAATGCTCCAACATATATAGCATTTAAAAACTAAAGAATTAATAAGAAAAGATGTTACAAAACAAATCTTAACGTTTTGTAACTTCCAAAGCCATTAAAAGGCTATTACTAACGGATAATAATAATTTGAATAGAAGAATTCAAAAACCATTAATAGCTAGTCAAAGATGGTTTTGTATGAATATTAATAAAATGTCGGTTATAATATTATAATAATAGCTATTAATCATGGATAGTAAATAATAATGAATATGTTATATTTTAATTTTTGAGATATAAGAATTATCCTCTTAACATATTTATCATATTTAATGTCATAATCTTTCTGGATCTTTTAAGTTTAGTGAATTGTTAAATGACTTGTAGCACTATGATAACAAGCAAATCAGTATTCAAAGTACCAAAACAACAATTTACTCAATAGAGAAACTGAATGGAAGTGCCAAAAATACCTGTTCCGATTTTGGTTTGATTCCCCTGTGAACTATTTTTTGTCATACTCAGATGATTTTGGTAGTGAAATAAACCTGAAAAATTTCTACTACAATTTACAATCACTATATTCCCTATTCAAAACTAAGGTTAGCAAATTGTTATGAACTGACTGGGAAGTTTTCTTCAGGCGGCTTTCGCCATAAATAATTAGCAGCTTCAATCCATCTTGGATGGACCAAAAATTTCTTCTCCTTCACCGCCCAACGCGATTTGTCAGTTCCAGCATCCATGGAGACCACATGTGTCACCGATTGATCGACTTCTGTGGAGCATGTGGCTCCTAATTGCTCAGCCAATTTCCACAAGTGGTGATTTTCTGCTTGGAATTGTGTAGGAAATACCCGGGTGAAGACGATTTTACAACCCTTCAATATTTCCTTCCGAACTTGTTTCAGCACCTGTAAAAATGCCAACAGATTCTTATTAGACTACACTAGTGTCCATAAATAAATTATCTAGACACAAGACTAAGACAGGTTTAAATGAAGCGACATGGACAATTAGGATTCATATAGCCAACCCCAATTTGCTTTGGATTGCTTAGCTATTAAATTCTTTGAAACATAAGTGATGCCGCAGACTCGCGCCTTGTTGAGGGCCAAAAACGCTCCAATACCCCCATTACAAGTGATATCATTCAGAAGCGATCGTTACACTTTAAGATATACGATCTATGATCTTACAGCTTCAACTTTCTTTAAAGAACCGAGATCAGCAGAACATGGTATTCTTTCACTTCTTTTTCCCCTGGACTGCCCCCAACCTCCACCACTTTTGGGCAGGGAGGGGGAAGGGCAGAGGTGGGTATTTTCAGGATTTGAAGGTCCCCCATAATCTCAGTACTCCTTGTTATGGTTTCCAAATTTCAGGCATCATAAGCTACATTAAGTTATTGGTAATCAGCAAAAGACAATTATATCAAAGTTCACTCAGGACCAACTGTTAATTAACCTTTCATGGGAAATAGGTATTGCACATAAGTCAGCAATATGTTAGGTTAGTGTTACTTTCACAGACTGCAATACAGCCAATACTTGTAGGCAATATGTAGAAACAACTAAGCAAGTAAGCCTCAAACCACCTTAGGCAGCAGAAAGGAAGCTTTCGAGTAAAGTAATGAAACTATGGTGATAAACTACAAAATGGACACACAGCACTCAATAAGTATTTATTCAAGAGGTGTACACACGATGTTGAACCAATGCATACCGAGAATCTGATATGCAAATACATTCCCTTCTCTGTCACAATTAAATGCAATCTACTTTGACTAGCACCGTTAAACCCCATAGGAAAACAAACTTTATGGCGATTAGAATCATGTTGGGAGCTCCAACGTAATTTTCTCAGACATTTGGCAAACAAAATCACATCCATGCTTAGGCAATTAGAACAGGACTTTTAGAGTTTGGAACAAAAACAATGTTCCCTAAAACAAACTTTCTTCACCTCACAAACTTAGTAATTCAAATTTCGTTGCCGAATGCATAAATTCACATCAGTCGGAATCTGTTTTATCACAAATTTTCTAAAATCCATGTTTCCTTAATCAACTTTGCAATCACTTACTAAGCGTAAAATTTTTGGCAGAACATTGAACTTGGTCTTGTGTGACAAGACCAGGGAGATGGGGAGATCGACGGGGATGTAACGCACCGTATCGGAGGTGGAGTGGATGAAATGGAGGTTAGCGTCTGGAGTCTTGAGTGACAAGAATGTGCTACCGAAACTTTAAGGTAAGTCCTATAGAGCGGTGGTTAGACCAACCATGTTGTATGGGGATAAGCGTTGGCCAGTCAAGATTACACATATCCCGAGGATGAAAGTAGTAGAAATGAGGATGTTGAGGTGGATGTGCCGGCACACTAGGAAAGATAAGATTAGGAATGAGGACATTCGCGAGAGGGTGGGTGTGGCTCCTTCGAATGACAAGATGCGGGAAGTGACACTTAGATGGTTCGGGCACGTGCGGAGGAGGAGCCTTGATGCTTGGCGTGAGCGGTTGGCTCTGGCAGATACGAGAAGAGGTAGAGGGCGGCCTAAGAAGTATTGGGGGAGGTGATCAGGCAGGACATGGGGCGGCTTCAAATTTCCGAGGACAAGACCCTTGATATGAAGGTGTGGAGGTCAAGCATTAGGGTTGTAGGTTAGGAAGTAATAGAGCGTTTCTCCTCGTTGTGCAGGCTACTCTAATAGTATTTTTGTCTTAGGAGTGCCAGCGATTTTTGTTGTGTTTCACATTTTTGATGTTTTCACATTTTGGCCTTTCTATTTTTTTTTTTATTTGCACCGGGTGTCCGAGTCTCTATGAGCCCCGACTAATCCCGGGGGTGCACAGGCCCTCGGCAAGGAGTTTCCCGCAAGTGCACCACGGTTAATTCAGCTTTTACCCAGTCCGATGGCCCTCAGAAATTGTTTGCACCCAGTAGGTTTCGAACTTGAGACCTTGAAAGGGAGCATACCCCAAGGCTCAAGTCATTTGCCACCAGGTCAACCCCTGAGGGTTTGGCCTTTCTATTTATTTATTGTCTTTTACTATGTTGATTCTATTTTTCAGGTTTCTGTTGTTACGGATCTATTGTCTCTGAGCCGAGGGTGTCCCGGAAACAACCTCTCTATCCCTCCAAGGTAGGGGTAAGGTCTGTGTACACTCTACCCTCCCCAGACTCAACTTGTGGGATCCTACTGGGTTGTTGTTGTAACATTGAACTTGGTCGAAAATAATTTAGCAGAGTTTCTTCCTTTTCTTTTGTTGTTGGGATAAGTGATTCGGAAGAGTATTTAATAATGTGAAAACTGGATTTTTGGTTTATCTTAATTTGAATTGTGGAGAAGAATATTTTAGGAGGGGTTAGGTTTTTGTAATGGGCAGAAAAGAGTAGAAGTTTCTTTTATTAGGACAGAAGGAGTACTAAACCAAAAGTCACCTATAAATTAAACTGTTTGTCAAGAATTTTACCTGCCTAACATCTCGCTCCATAATATTGTCCCTGCGTTCCTGCAAAGAAAATAAGAAGAAAAAAAACTCAACAATGGAAGGCAGCTACAATCAAAAGTAACAAAATTAGTAAGTGCTACCCCCTTCGAGCCAATATAGATGTCCCATTACATGATTACTTAGGTAAGAACTGAAGTTTTTTTGTATTCAAACGAAGTGAGTCCGTAATTGTATAATTAGTTTTGAAGTATGAACGTTTTCTAGCATAAAATTCGGTTTCCTTAAAATAAAAGAACTATTTAATTATGTTATGGTTCGTTAGAATAAACTGGACAGATTTTGAGACGACTCAAACAGAAAGTATGAGTTAATTTTGGGGGAGGAATAGCAAAAAAAACATACCGGGTCGAAGAACAGGCTGTGGATCTGTTGCAGTACTTTTAAAACAGAGGCAAGCGCTCCCTCAGCTTCATTTTCATCACTTTTCGTTTCAGAAAGTGATTTACATTTTAAACCAAATTGTCGACAACTTGAGGTAAAGAAATGATAACGCTCCATCAGTATCAGGTTCTCCTTGTGCTTTCCCCATACCTAAAACAACACAGGTTTCAGTTCCCCCAAAAAACAACTCATTTCTCTAATTAAAAATTAGAATTTAGAAAAATGTGGAACTTGATAATAGTCTTCGCTCAAATGAGATTACTCAGAGAGCTTTAGACACACAGCAGGTCTTACGGAGATTCATGCAGTTGGGATCAGATACAAGTTTAAGATAGTCATACAATACAAACATAAGCATTTAACTCAAACTAGGAGAACTCAAACCAACTATCGGCAACATCAAGAAAAAGTATCCATAATAAAAACACAAGAAAAATAACTAAGACTTTGATCAAATAGGGAGTAATAAAAAACGGAAATTGTTCTACAGTTCTAGACACAAAAGGTTTATAATGTTTGTGCTGAATTAAAAGAGTTTCTGGGAGCAGAAGATTACAGTAAACTACTGCTTTTATGAATTTCAGCACAAACAGACCCCATTTTCAAGAAAAAAAAATCAGCACTTGCATTTGGGAACATAAATGGGAGTTAAAAGAAAAAAAATTGATGACAGCTATTAGCACAACTATGGTTCATAGAGAACTGACTAAAACATGAAGATATATAATGAACATGTAGAACAAGAAACTGGTTTGTAGATATTAAAAAGTTCCAAAGAGTATCTGACAAGAGATACAATGGAAAGCAAGTGGAGCAGAAACTTGTACATAATTATTAATTGCAGGCAGCCCCTTCAGGGACGTACAATAGTGCTGAAATGATAGAACTCAGCACAAGGATAACACACAAAGTGAGAAACCGTCCTATTTATTAATTGCAGGCAAGAGCAGCAAATTGTTTCATTCCATTATTCAAAACTTGCTTTCAGTACGTCAACAGCAACTCCTGCATTTTCTCCACCCCCCAGCAAAGTGCCAGAAAAAAGTGGTAATCAAATGTAACCTGAACATGCTTAACAATCATCAAAAAAGAGGGAACTACAAATGTGAACGCATGGCACAAACACGAACAAAGAACCGTAGATAACAATCAGGCTCAACGAAGTTCCATGCAGATAAGTTAAACTCCAAAAACAAATCTGAACTGTCAGAATAGCAATACATGAAAAATGGAAAGCTGTCATGGAATTAGGGTGGCGGGAACTTAAATTTAGTCCAATTAACTCTCCCTTTGTATGTATGTGATAAGCCTTCAACGGTATTAGCATTCTTTTTCTTTGAGAAGGAAAATTACTATATGGAATAAGAACTATCTCAATGGTATTAACATTCTCCTAACCACCAAAGAAATTCTTTCATTCTTCGTGGAGGGAACATGATACTCCTAGAGAATTGCTTACCGCTTCAGTATCATCAAGGATCAGGACAGCACTTTCTTGACCCACAACAACATCAAGGCCCTTTTGATGCCTCTGGGTGCAGTCTCCTTGAGCAATCACTCTAGAATGGAAGTAGATACCTCCAGGGTCAAGTAAGTCTGCCATTTCCAATGCATAAGGACGTTCACCCATTGTGTAAATGTACATCTCGAATAAACTACTGGCTTCTTTCAGGAAGGTGTGGACAAATGGCCTCAACTTTGTCATCATGTGTATCCAATCCAATTTGAAAAGGTTGCTTCTCAAAGCATCTGTACATCACAAGTTGGCAAAAACATCATAAAACAGTGCAGAACAGATACCTGCAAAATAACTATCACGACCAAACAACAAGAATAAAAGCAAAAGAAGTCCTTACCATATATGAGGTCTAAGCAAACTAGTATAAGAAAAGACAAAACTTAATGTACACGATGACAAAGATTACCACAAAGAATTAACAAAGTGAAGAGCTTACAAAGCTCTAGGATTACAGGCCAGGTTATCAAACAGCATAATTTAGATGACCCACATGCCAGAAGTCCCAAAAAGGGAACATCAGTTGCAATCAGAACATGATATATCCATTATACTTTCTAATCAAGAGCGCCAGCTAAACATTCTTTTCCTAGTCCAGGATTCCGCATCCTTACAAGACACTATTAAACATTAACTCTGCAAAAAAACATATACCACATCATCTAAAATAGTGTAATCCCTCCCCCCCCCCCTCTTCTCTGTCCCTCCCTCCCCCGATTCGTAAAAATGCTCGCTAGGTTGGGAAAGAATTTCTATTAGCTTCAGAATCTGCAATCTCTAAGAAAATTGCAGGTTGGTCTGTCAAGAAGTTACATATTCCATGCACCAAGCAAGTAGATTAAAATGTGCATGGGACCTACTAATGTCCAAAAATCTTCTATTTCTCTCCAAACAGACACACATCAGTACACATCTAGGAATGATGTCCAGTACTAAATTGCTCCAGCAAACAACTGCCTCCAGGCCAGAAGGAATCTAACAGATTGTAACATTATGAATTAGATGCACCCTAATTGCTCGTATAAATGGCTAAAGCACAGATGCATCTAGTCACAATGGAAAGTGAATGAGCTAAAGTCTCCTCATCTATCTTGTGCAAACTGCACCAATACACAAAACCTGTTCATCTTTCTAATAATGACCCACTAAATTGGACTTTAATTTAAACACTTCTGAAGTTCTGTTTAGGTATTATATGAATGAAATCAAAGAGTAATGTAGTCACAGAGACACATACCTGCCTGCTATCAGATCCCTTTCAAACCTTGGAGATCAAATTAAAGGAATAAGATGCTAGTAGTAGATTGAGGACAGATGACAGAAATTAGCACAGTAAATCTGATCAGAGGGAGAACTACTAATTCCAATAACACAGATTTTCTTAACTACGTAGTGTAACATTACCTCGTATTTTCTGTATAGCTTCCTTCTCTATCTAGTTCATTAAACTAGTAGTCACATAACATATATACACTATAAAATCCCATGCAAGCTACATCGTAGAGATCCTAGCAGTACTTCACCTCACTGCTGCAGGTTTCCCTCCAACTACCAATATCTCTAACAGATTTCAGGCTAGGAGACCTAGGCAATACCAGTATAACCTGTTGGACAAATTTTCTTATTTTGCTTCCCTAGCTTCCTTGTGCAAGTAAAACAGATTTTCATCACTTTCAAGAGCAAGATATAAGCATCGAAATTATAAGCCACTAGCACATAACCAGTAAGAGTAGCATACCAGGCAGAACTTCTCGTTGGTCCTTCAAGTATAATTCTTCTGCTGAAATATCTGCAAGTCTAGTTGAGTTCAGAAGTGTGTGGTCTAAATCAAGAACCAAGTACAGCTTTTTATGACGTAATAAGTTCTTCAGGTCCTTGTCACGCAATCGAGCAATTTCATCATCTGCAAGCCTCAAATTCTGCAAAATTAATTATAGAATCCAGTAAAGATGTAGAAAGTTTACTAGAAATAGCTGTCCCCAGCACATCATATAGTGCCTTCCATTCCTCTCAACCGTCTCCACACCCAACCCAACCCAAAAGAAAAGAACATATGTATATACAAGTGTATTGTAGTGACTACTGAATCATTAACAATAACCTTGTGTATGTATCCAAAAGCCACACCCGATTCGTTTTCCACCTTCTGCCCACACCTTATACACATCCCTCCCATGACACCAGGATGTGAGCATATATCCAGAGCCAAAGATGCTCCTGCAAACAGGGACATGTCAGGTTTATCACACAGAACCACACACGTACTTCATGCTGGAGAAGCACGTCGATGACTGGAAAGGAAAGAGTCAAAGAACTTATAACTACATGCAAGTAGCTGCAGCCTATTAATTAATTTCATCCTAAAAATTATTTCTTTCCCTATTTCTTAATCTTTTGTCAGGGAAACTAATTTGCCATTTTCTAGTCCCTCCGCAAAGAATGAAAGCTCAAAGAAGCATTTTTAGTGTCAAGGAAACCATAGCTGTCATCTATATGGAAAAGGCATTACCTAAGTTTTGAAGAGCTGAAGACCAGCTTATCATCTGATACTTATCGTTGTCAGAATTCAGCAACTAAGGTTTTAATAAGATGATCAGAAAATGGAAAAGGCATTACCTAAGTTTTAAAGAGCTGAAGACCAGCCTATCATCTGATACTTATCATTGTCAGAATTCAGCAACTAAGGTTTTAAACTTTTAATAAGATGGTCAGAAGATGTAAAAGAAGACTACAGAAGCCCATAATGATCCAGTTGCAGTATAATCAGATTGTATTTACTTCAGGCCAATGAACATTTTCTAATAGATAAGGTCAATAATATCCACAAAAAGAAGTGAGTTCGTGGAGAAGAATATACAAAAGTACAAAAGGATTCTTCGCTGTTAGCTGTGTGGCAGCTGACAAAATCAATCAAGTTTTCCATGTCATGTAAATCATTTAACCAAAAGATTCAAAAGCTGAAGAGAAGCATATTTCCAGGTGCATAGAGGCTGTTTATTTCCTTCGAAGCATTGACTGCTCCTCACTCTCCAACCATGGGACGTACAAAGGAATAGCATTCTACAACTTTCTGTTAACTTTCTGTTTCTTAAGAGTTTCCCTCACCTTCCACAGTCTTTGCAAGTTTTCTATGTCATGTAAAACATTTAAACCAAATAACCAAAAGATGAAGACAATCCTAATTCAAGCTGCATAGAGACTCATTATTTCCTTCAAAGCACTCACTGTTCCTCTCTCTCCAACCAATGTGACATCTAGAGGAATAGCATTCCACATTTTTCTGTTGCTCCATAGAGTTTTCCTCCCCTTCCAACTACAAAAAATTTCTTCAAGTGATAGGCATCTATTGAAGAACCTCGACAAGATAGAAACATGTACCAAATCTCTAATCTACAAAATGCAAAAAAAAAAAAATGATTTTAAGTTTCCATCCCATTTTCACACATATAGCAATCACTCAATTAACTAGAGGTCCAACTCACTTTTTAATACAGTATAAGAGCAAATGAGGGCTTCTTTGGATCTAGAGGTTCTTTAAAACTTGCACTTAGTTCTACATGCATATACAAGACTACAATCAACACTTAACCTAATGTAAGTGCAATGACAACAACTAGGCATTAACCCCACTCATAGATATCGCCTATGTGGATACTTTACTTCATTCATCTCTAACCTTAGCTAAGTCATAATGATGCTAGGAGATTGTAAATCTTGAGACAACTTCTCTCCACATGATTTTAGGTCTACTTTACCCCTTTATATCCCCGTCAATCAACATACTGTCACACATACAAGCTAGTGCATTTAGAAGTCTATGTACAATACAGACAAACCATCTCAGATGACCTCTATCAGCAATTTCCAAACCATTATTCAGGGCCATGAAATGGTATTATTCAAATATTATACGCTCGAATAAAAGCTCAAAGTCAAAATTATTATGAGCTCATTTGAATTTCAAGGTAGGCTTTCACTTGAGCTCGAGTGCTTTGTTTGAAGCTCATTTTGCATTTAGAGTCAAGCACCAGCAGTAAAACAAGACTGAGCTTGGCTCAAGTATACCTCTAGACCTAAGTAGGTGCTGACATGAATTAAAAAGAATTATTGTAAGGTGTTATAATATCTCTACAACAACATCAGAACATCAAATCATTCAACTCGATCTTGATAAAATGCTAAACAGATTTGTTTAATGTGCGGATAAAATGCTAAACAGCCTATCAGAAGATTGAATGACTCTTCTACAGCCTGACCTGAAGTTTCTGCTGGTTCTCCACGAGATGCTGAACTCTGTGGATACACTGCATCTTCCAAAACCTCTGCTTTGCGCTTCTTTATCCTATGATAATCAAAATAGACATCAATGAGGAAATGGAACATTTAGTTTAAGCACAAATAATCAAACTGCAATGTTAGACTTTAAAAAGCAATAGTAAATTTAGCAATAAAAAGATTTCCAGTTTCAGCAGAACTAACAATAGTTGGTGACAATCAGCACAACCCTTTTGTAATTTGCTTCTTCCACACGAGCTCTTTTTCATGTTTAACTCAAAAACTTATCTTAGATGAACTAACAAATCCAAGCTTCACACAGAATCTTATAATACCTGCTAGAATCTGAGGTGCCATCATCAAGATCATCACCATCGCCACCATCTTCATCTTGCCCTTCCTCATCTTCCACCTCTTCCTCTCCCTCTGCTTCTTCATTATCTACTTCGTGTTGGTCAGGTGATACATCAGAAGCAGAGTCCAACTCTGCATCGAGAAATGCTGCAAAATCATCGCTGCTTGATGAGTGCACTGGAGAATCTGCCGTCAGACTCATCTGGCATGCCCGACATGAATTATATAAGAATCATGCTACATTATAAGAAACACAGTTGATACAGCAACATCCTTTTTTACTACCGTGTCAAAAACTCACAACAAAAACCAATAGCTTTAAAACAATTTCAATTTACATGTGGACTGCAACTTTGTAATTATTCTCTCTCACACGCACACACTATGAGGATATCATTAAGGCATAAAGCTCAATCGCATTGCAGAATTGAAAATGCCAACCCATATAAACAAGCTTAATGAGTAATTATTAGTTTATAATTCAGTAAAGTATGCCAAAAATGCGACCTGATTTTATCAAGTTAAATGTTCAAATTTCAGCTTTGTCAGATAGAAGTCTAATCTACAACTCATTCACCTCTCTGTAGCCCAAATTCTCATTCTTATAAATCTTCACTAAAGCCCCAAACAACCCAGCAATAATTCTACATAAGACTAACTAAAAGGTACTAGTAAACACACAAAAAAAGAATAGCCAACTCAGATGAATTATTCAAATTTTTCCGAAGTATATGGGAATACCCATATTAAACTTTATGCCAAATGTAAAGAAACTAGAAACAGAAAGTGGTTAATAAGAATTGAAACAACAATCACAGAGAGAACAATGGAGTTCACAGAGACAGAGAGAGTGACAGAACCTGAAATCACGGCCGGCGGGATTTCACAGGCGCAGAAAGGGTTTTTGGCGTTTATATTGTTTGTACAAAAGGCTTTTCAACTTCAGATGAAAATTGAAAGTTAAAAACAAAAATAAGTTTGATTTAAGATTTAAAAGTGATCTGATTTTATTTTACTTCTTTTTTTTTTGCAATAAGAATGATCAGATTTAACTCTGAGATTAATTACAGTTAAGCCTGTCGGTTTTGAGGTATATAAGAGAAATATAATTTTATTAGACATAAAGTTTAGACATAATTTCAAAGAGCTCCTCAAGTTTAATTTCTATAATACTGATATCCCTTTTAGTTTAAAACAAGAGTGAGCAAGGCCTGGTATCCTAGCCTACAGCATTTTGCTTGACTTGGCATGCATGAAGAAACAAGATTCAACAACAAAGAATGCGCCAAGAAATGCAAGCAAGGTACCCCTTTATGGATAAAGATCAGGCACCAATCAATAATACTCATTGTCACACCTCCTTTTTTACTACACCCCCGAAGGAGTATAATAAAGGGAGTTTTTCCAATTAAAGGACAATCGAAACGGGATTGTTATTAAAGGATTCAGAGTCGCCACTTGGAAGATTTATGGTGTCCCAAGTCACCGGTTTGAAAATCCCGAATCGAGGAAAAGAATGACTCTGTTGAACAGTCCGCGAACCAAAAATCCGGGTAAGGAATTCTGTTAACCCGGGAGAAGGTGTTAGGCATTCCCGAGTTCCGTGGTTCTAGCACGGTCGCTCAACTGTTATAATTTGGCCTATTATCTGATTTTAATGCATTTTTTGAACCTATGTGCAATTTTAACTTTGGACCGCTTTTATTTAATTAGTTTTTAAGAAAGATTGCAACGCTCTTTAAAATATGTTTCGGGCCACGTCACATAAATGCACCCGTAGCCCATAACACATTTTATCTAACGTTGAGATTTGGATTTGGGTCACATAAATGCACACCCGAGTTTAGGAAGGTAATTTTTAGATAGCGCGCCTAAAGAAACTACGCACTTTCAACTTTGCGAGGGCCATGGAAATTCAGCTAATGGCACACCTCGATTCTAATTTCAAAGGATTGTACTCAACTAAAGCAAACTACGGATGTTCATCGAGGTTGTTTGTTTTACTACTAGCAGCGATCTTAACACTGAACAATACTTGATAAGATTAAGAAAAATCCAAGCAAATTCTTCTACTGCCTAGCCCTTCATATTTGAAATGGGATGAAGCCAAAGCTAAAATATAGGAAGAAGTCTCTGAATTCACCAAACACATGGCATTTCCAACAACAACAAAAAAAACACTAAGTATTTCCAATCTAAAAATTTTAATCTTGCATGAAGCAGAATATGAAAATTTCTCTAATTGTCATGATGAAAATGAAAAATTTAAGAAAGAAAGATGGGAGTCACACAACATTTGTATGAGGCGGTGATTTCTAATATCTAACATTATAAGAATTGGTCTTGTAAACTACAGAAAAAGGGAACTTGAACACTCAAATCATAAGACTAGCATCTACTATATAAAAAAATAAAATTAACGGAATCAAATCCAACAACAAATTCTACCAAGCCTTTTCAGTAGGAGCAAAACTCTTGTTTTGGAATTTGCAAACACAAACCATTTCATATACTTACTTAAAGAAAACTCCAATACATACAAAAGCAGTAAACTAAAAGTGGGAGATTAGAAAGGGACCTCGAGGATTCAACTCCTTCAACAATTTCTTTGAATGTGAGCATGTCTTAGACCAGGAAACATCACGGACAAGAACTCGACGGAAACGGAACCTCGAACGGAAACCAACAATCCTCAACTAATCTCCATGTTTGGAACCCAAAGTCAGTGGAAACTTGAATTTTTGAGTATTTTCCGAATTTAGGGTCAAATTGAAACTAAGACGAATTAAAAATTTTTGTTTATTATTTTCCTTCGGATCTGTGAATGAGGGAACATAGTTAAGACATCAGACAGAAAAGGGATGAACAGTGGTGGTTCGTCGGAGGTACGGCAGCGGGGATGGCTGTTTCTCCGGCGAGTTGGGCTGAATCGCTACTGGTTGAAGCTGGTTCTCGCTAGGTCGGGCGATGGGTCTGGTGAGCAGAGGTTGGAGAAGGGAGTTCGATTTTGAAGATGATGAAGAAGGCCCCTACGATTTTTTCATTTTTTGAAGATCAAGGACCAAATCTGATGGGTGTCTGCGGCTGAGCCTTTTTAGTGTATATATCCGTCTCCACTCCAGAAAAAATGTGTGCCTTTTGCTCTTTAGGTGTAGGTTTATGTAGGGTGCAGGGTTATATTTTTGTGTTTTTTGTTTATTAGTCCCTAGTTATTTTGTGTATTAGGTCCTTAGTATTTTTTTTATTTATTTTTGTTCCCAAGAAGAGTCTTAATCCGAATTTGGCTAAGAATTGGGCTCTAAAATTCTTAAAATTGTTACTCCTTTTAAAATAAGATAAAAATACTACACAATGCTAAAGCTTATCCTAATTAATCAAACCAAACATAAAACTATTTTTGTGTTTTCAAAATTATATAATGCCAAAGCTAATCCTAATTAATCAAACCAAGCATGAAACTATTTTTGTGTTTTCAAAATTATATAGAGATAAAAATAAGGTACTATTTTTGTATTTTTTGAAAAATATATAAACTAAAATATTTTTGTAATTTTCTATTCTTATGACGAAAATAAAGTAAAGAAGTCAAAAAATAGTTGAAATAATTATATTAAGCCTAAATTAAATATTTATATACTAAAATATAAAAAATCTTGGGAAGATAAAAAATCACATGTCTACTACACTCATTAGAAGATTGAGAAAGTTTAAAGCTGACTTCAGATCAGTTGCCTGTACATGGCACTGAGAAGTAAAATGCTCTGCGTCTGAATCTGGCAATCTTATAATGATGGACCTAATTTAACAAAGCGACACCAACTACGAATTGCCAAATTTGTCGTATGCTACAATATCAGCATTTGAAGTACGGATGTAGGAGGGTCAACAATCAGTGCGAGGATAATCTTATATCATAGACCAAGCACACTTTTAAAAGCGCTTTTCTCAAAAGTATTTTTAGTGAGAAGTAGTTTGTGTTTGGCTAATTAGTTTGAAAATCACCTCTGAGCAGCAATTAGTGTTTGGCCAAGCTGTAAAAAACTGCTTCTAAGCGTATTTTTCTCAAAAATGCTTCTCAAAAAAGTGCTTTTGAAGAGAAGCTACTTTTTTCTGCTTCTCCAAAACTGCTTCTGCTTCTCCTCAAAAGCACACTTTTTTTATTTCAAAAGCTTGGCCAAACACCTCAATTTTTTGGCCAAAAGTGCTTTTAGCCAAAAAAAAAATACTTTTGGACGAAAAAAAGCTTGGCCAAACAGGCTATAAGTGGAGAAAGGCCAGAAGCAGCTACATGCAGTTAGCTTTCGCGGTCACCTTATGTGCCTTCTCTTCTTTCACTGTTTGCAGAAACTGACCAAAAGAGGACGGGAAATAAGATAAACAGGAAGTTCAAACAAAGTTCCCAAAGCTGAATAACCGAAGGGAACCGCCTTTCACCATGCTTAAGATTTTCTTTCTGCTTTAGTCTTCTTCCTCTCGGCAGTGGACACTTATTCTTGACCGTTACCTTGCTCAATAGCCGGTAATCAATAAACATCCTCATTGACTCGTCCTTCTTCTTGACAAACAACACCGGCGCATCCCAAGACGAAACACTGGGCCTAATGAAGCCCTTCTCAAGCAAGTCGTGCAACTGATCCTTTAACTCTTTCAACTCTGGCGGGGCCATACGATATGGCAGAATAGAAATGGGCTGGGTGCCCGGAACCAGATCAATGCAGAAATCAATATCCCTGTCGGGTGGCATACCCGGCAGGTATGAAGGGAAGACATCAGGAAACTCAAGAACAACGGGCACAGAATCAATCAAGGAAACCTCAGCACTAGAATCACGAACATACGCCAAGTAGACCAAACTCCCTTTCTCGACCATACGCCGAGCCTTCACATACGATATGACACAGCGGGTAGAATGACCTGGAGTCCCTCTCCACTCTAAACGAGGCATACCGATAAAACTAAGGTCACCGCCTTGGCATGGCAGTCCAAAATAGTATGGTAAGGTGATAACCAGCCCATCCTCAATATAATGTCGAAGTCAACCATGTCCAACAACAACAAATCTACTCGAGTCTCAAGACCTCCAATCACCCCAATACAAGAACGATGGGCTCGATCGACCACAATAGAATCACCCACTGGTGCAGACACATAAACATGAACACTCAATAAATCACTAGGCATGACCAGATGCGGCGCAAAATAAAACCGAAGCTTCTCTACCACAAACCAGAACAGTACCTGTACCTCCACCTCTAATACCTTTACCTCCACCTCTAATACCTTTACCTCCACAAGCCTCCAAAGACGTAGCTGATCTAACACCGGTCCGTTGTTGCTCGGTTGAAGAAGCAGTACATGACCTCGCCATTCACGAGAGGACAAGAGTAGAGGTTTCAATTTAGCACTGAGAGAACAAAATCGCACGACAGGAAAGAATAGAAGTGAAACTTTTCCTAACTCTGTAGCCTCTGGGGGATAAATACAGACGTCTCCGTACCGATCCCTCAGACTCTACTAAGCTTGTCTGTGAACTGTGAGACCCATGTAACTTAGAGCTCTGATACCAACTTGTCACGACCCGGATTTTCCACCCTCGGGAGTCGTGATGGCGCCTACTTGTAAAAGCTAGGCAAGCCAAATTTAATTACTTTTTCATTAATAACATAGTTTAACAGTTATCGGCAATGACACAAAAGCAACGAAATTAAATACTAAGCGGAAGTCTCAATATTATAGAAAGCTGAATAAAAAAAAATGCGGAAAATCTCAGCAAAAGCCTCTACCCAAGACTGGTCTCACAGTTTCACAGACGGTCTAAGAGTACTAAACATAAAGGTCTGAAAGAAATAACTCGACACTGTCTCCAGAAATACATGAAAGAAACAGGAATATAGATGAAAGGAGACGGTAGGGCCTGCGAACGCCTGCAAGGCTACCTCGGGTCTCGCTGGGCTGAAAGCTTGCTCCCACTCTATTGCTGCTGCTGTCTGAAGCCTGGGATCTGTGCAAAATAGCACAGAGTGTAGTATCAGCACAACCGACCCCATGTGCTGGTAAGTGCCTAGCCTAACCCCGGCGAAGTAGTGACGAGGCTAGGACCAGACCACCAAATAAACATGTGCAGATATATATACAAGTACAACGGAAAAGTAACAAGAAAATAACAATTTAAGCTAGGGAAGGGAGCATGCTTCAGGGGCAACAGTTAGGAATAGAATTTCAGGAATAATAAAGCGTACATCTACAATTTAACTTCTAGCAGTAAATGAAGAGATAAGGCAACTTTCATATTCAACTCATCTTGTTGCAGGCGTGCAACCCGATCCCAATTCTCAATATCTCGTGGTAGGCGTACCACCCGCTCCCATTTCAATATCACTCGTGGTAGGCGTACCACCCGCTCCCATTTCAATAAATCAACAGTTCCTCTAAAAGAAAATTTACTCTAACAAACGCAAAAATTAATACGAGTTCATAAGACAACAAGTACACAAAATCTATGATTTACTAAGGAAAACAAATAGTGACAAATAGCAATTAATTATGGATTATAAGGGGGCAATTAGGCAATTTAGTAATTTATATGTTGAATGTCACGTAGCAATTAGGTCACATAATCATGTAGCAATTAAGGCATAAATTCAAGACATAACGTTGCGCAAGGACACCTTGGTTCAATAATAACAAGTAACACGATAAAGGGAAATGTCAACGTAAAGAATCGCAGAAATAATGGAATAAGACAAGTAATGCACTTGAACTGATAACAATAGGAAAATCAATAAATAGAAGTAAAGGACAACATAACTCAATTATCAGCAAAGAAATCAAGAAAATCAAAGACAAATGCACGGCATCATGCACGGCATCACCCTTCGTGCCTTTACTCTCATCCTCACCAAGCAATTAGAATAACAAAATGTGCACGGCATCACCCTTCGTGCTTTTACTCTCTTTCCTCACATATAATCAATGGAATCGGCACGGAATGGTACATCGTGCGGCGCGGCATCACCCTTCGTGCTTTACACTCTTTCCTCACAATAAACAAACAATGCACGGCATCTCCCTTCGTGCTTTACACTCTTTCCTCACAATAAACAAACAATGCACGGCATCACCCTTCGTGCTTTACACTCTTTCCTCACAATAAACAAACAATGCACGGCATTACCCTTCGTGCTTTACTCTCTTCCTCACCTAAACAACAATCACAATCAAGGGCAAGGGAATAAACAGAATAGTAATAGAAATCCCGGCAAGGGAACACAATAAAACAATTAAATCCCGGCAAGGGTACAACATCAATAATCTCAACGTCCCGGCAAGGGAAAAGATCAATAACTCTTTCTCTTTCTTTCACTTTTATCACATAGTTCACATTATCACTCGAGCCAATGCTCCAAAGATTTACTTATCTCATATACCTTCACAATTTGTATTTCAACTCGAACCAACGCTCCACGAAGTTCAAAGATCACAATTGCTTTCACAAGATCTTTAAAATATGTAGAAATCATCAATTAAACATGGAAAATATAACAAAATCCCAACTATTCGCAAAATAAGGACTCACGGTCATGCTAGACACCAATGTATAGATACTCGTCACCATGCCCATACATCGTACCCAACAATTAGCAAGTAGCAAATAAGACTCAACTCCTATTCCCTCAAGCTAGGGTTAAACCAAACACTTACCTCAACTACCACGGCCAAATCAATCCACAACAACCGCTTTCCCTCTCGAATTCGGCTCCAACTCAATCAAATCTATACAATAATAACTTCATAATATCAATATATGCTAAACAAATCAAACCCAATGTCTAATTATAGATTTTCAAGATTTCTTTCCAAAAACCCCAAAATCGCCCGCGGGCCCGCTTGGTCAAAACGCAAGGTTCGGACCAAACCCATTTACCCACGAGCCCGAATATATAATTTGTTCTCAAATTCGATCCCAAAACGAGGTCTAAATCAAGAAAAAGTAAAAAGCCCTAACTCTACCCATTTTCCCCAATTTCTACCCTAAATTACATATTTTAGGCTTAGGAATTCAATAATAGTGATGGAAAATGAAGAAAACGAGTTAAGATTTACTAACCCAAGAAGTGTTGGTGAAAGAGAGCTTCAATGGATGCC